TCTGTGTACAAGTTGAGCAAATTAAATAGAAAACCGAGAAACTTCGCAAAATTTAGTTGAAGAGTAAGGAATTAAGTAGAAGTACAGGGAAGTTCATAGAAGCTCGGATAGATTTTCGAGAATTTCGTGGAATTCAGGGAGTTTTGTAGATGGACATATTGTAGGAATTTAACATGATGTTCTGAGATCTTGGTCAAATTTCCGCAAACAGTGAATGAGACATACAAGTTCAGCAATCTTGGTAAACATTCAGCTGTAGTTTGTGTAAGCTATAAACAAATCGTACAAGTTCAGAAAACTTCGAATAACTGGACGCAACTTTCCAGCAATTCGCAGAACTTTCCTCAAATTTAGGGAACTCCATAGAGGCTCAGGAATAAGTTAAATGGATTGGGAAAAAGTTCAGGGAGCTTTATTTGAATTGAAGAAACTTTGTATAGCCGTTGGTCCCCGGTTCATGAGTTGATGGGTCGATAGGTAGGGTGCAGGTGTGGGAGTTGCCTCCCTGGCGTCGGTAGCATTGGTACTCAGCACGAAAAACAAATCAAGGGTTTTTTTTTTAATTAAAATGCTTAGATAATATAATACAAGCATTTTAAAAATTCTCTTCCATAGCTCATCGTGAAGGATTTTTTGTTGTTCCTTTGATTTGTTTTCCGTCGATCTTGTTTTCCGTACTGAGTACTAATACTACCGACACCAGGGAGGCAGCTCCCACACCTGGTCTCTACCTACCTATAAACTTATGGGCCGGGGAACAACGGCTTTACTTCCCTTCCGAAGGAAGGCGTGACAGATATTATGCCTCAGAACATCCCGACGGTGCCGACTGGGATTGAACCCAGGTCCTTTGAAGTGAGAGGCAATCATGCTTATCACTACACCACCGGAATTCAGCAACTATGATAATGTTGATTATATCGTAACGTCAAATGATTTCAGAAATCTGAAAAACATTTATTTATAGCAAATGGTAGCAACGTTGCTTGCGACGTATCTGTGATGATCATCAAGCTCATCATTCGAGTAAAATTAAATTAAATTCAATTCAGACCCTTGCTAAAGCAAACAGTCATTTTAACTATAACGTTTACATTGTATTGCTATCAGCATTATCAAAGTGCAACCGATCGATTAATTTGTTCCATTACCATTCGCACAGTAAGTAACCGACAGAGTGTCCCAGATTTAAATATATTGTCAATGCTTGCAGATTAAGGATGTCCAAGTTTGTACAAATTATAGCTTGCATGCTACATTATTTTTTTCATTCCAGACGCCTAATCCGGTTTGTCTAATTGAAATAATGAAATATCTCGATTTCACATCTGCAACCGTACGTGTACACTCATAATTTTAGAAATAAATTGATCATTCTGACTCCCGATTTCGTAATGATTTTTTTTTTCTATTGCTCATATTTAGTTGGCAAGGGAAACACAATAATCTAACTAGGATGCCAACTTCCAAAAGAAATCCCTCTGAAGCCTAAAATGGTAGTCTAATAAGCAGAAGCTCTTAAAGTGAGCTCCAGTTTTAATATTCATGAAGACTTAACCATTTTATACATCATACTGTATGAAAGTTCAATATTTAGATATATTGAGAACCCTGGCTAGCATTGGTCTCACTTGCTCTGAGAACCACCGAGAAAATGGCCACAATCTGATGTTATCTAAATTCACATCAAAATCAAAGTAGGGTCCATGCCCCTAACCTGGGTCTAATAAGCAGCCAATCATTTCTCAACAAATCAATGTCTCAATTGGGCACGGTAAACAGTTACTAAACTTCCCATTATCACATGACAACCTTACAGGAACATGGATTTAATGTCGGCCTACTGTCCCGACCTTAGGTCCAACAATGGAACTTCGGCCCCTCAGTAATAGTCTTTGAAATGAGATTCCTGTTTGTTTTTTTTTCCAACACACTCTGGATCATTGTTATACAATTCTCTTCATTTTAGTTGTAATTTCACTTATTATATTGAACAAAAAGCGTTCTAAAAATAGTTAAATTTGCTCCTTTTCCTCCAGTGAGCGCAGAACAGCACGAGAAGATGACGGTGCAAAGCGCAGGCAAAAACTTAACCAAAACTAAATCAGTTTTTTATTAAAATAAAGCAGGAAATGTATTCAGTTTGTTTCATTACTTATTTATATATTTTGTGCTGTTTAAACTTGGGGAAGCCTGGGATTGGAACACAGAAGCTGACAAAGCTGCACGGCAACCTTCTATCGAAAACATCATATCAAGAAGACTGGCAACTTTGCCAGAATCCAAGCGACAGATACAATAGCGCTGCGCTTGAGTGAAGGTGGAAGCAACGCATAGAAAAATGAGCAAATACACAAATCTTTCTTCTGAGGATGTAATCTCTGCTATCAAATTCGTTCGAAGCATTTACCTTTGAGCGGCAGATGACGCGATTGTATCGTTCGTATGAGAAAATGGAAGAGTTACCAGTCTTCTTGATTTGTTGTCTTCGCTTCTATACACACCAAATTTCTTAAATCTTGTCCGGTACTTTTTTGCTGGATTTGTTCGGTGAATTATCAAAAACAAAATTAAATTAACAGCAATAAAGTACAGTATTCCCGTAAAACTTACTGAATAGATTTATAAACTTTGTATTGTCAATCTCAACCTTTGCTGCCATTTCGATGTTGAGCGTTCTTCGGTTCTACACACTAAGATTTTGTTTTCGTGTTCGGTAAATTTTACCGAAATCAGAACGCTGAACGTTCGGTAAAACTTTAACCTTCATTTTAAAGGCTATTGAATTTGAAACTAATTTCAAAACATGTTCAACCTTCTTTAATGATCAAATCTTGTCATTTTAGTGGGGATTTAGTTTCAAAGTAGCTGAAAAGCAATTGAATTGAATTGCATAAATTTTACCGAACAGTTCAGCTGTTCAGATTTCGGTAAAAATTACCGAAGTCGGCGATAATTTTTAAGTGTGTACGTTGTGAAACATAAGTACTTTACTTTTTAGCTAGATTCCGTTCAATGTACACCGAAGATATACTTAGTTTTCATTTCTGGGCCAATTTCTTTCAGACGCCATGGATGTTAGGCAACTCAATGTCCTCATCAACCACAAAAAGTGAATTTTAGCACGGTTTGCTGAGTCCGGCTTTACTTACGAACGCAATATGAAAATGTCTATACAAAATAATAAATTTTTGGGTTGCTGAAAGAAAGAAACATCAATTAAATTTTTTATGATTTATTCTGAAAACAAAGTACAGTCCATTCGGTAAAACAGATAGGAAACAGGTGGGGCATAATGAGGCATAAGGGCCTGTTCATAAACTACGTAGACAGTTTTTTTTGGGATTCTTGACCCCCCCCCCCTCCCCCTGCGTAGAAAATTTTCCATACAAAATTTTGAAAATTTGTATGGGCCGTGGTTAATTACCAACCCCCCCCCCCCTAAACTGTCTACGTAGTTTATGGACAGCCCCTAATGAGCATCCCGCACCCCCATTCCAAATTTCTAATTGTTTAAATCAAATGAATGGATAGTAGGGACGACCCCGGCGTAGTGATTAGCATCCATACCTCTCACGCCAAAGTCACGAGTTCAAATCTCACCCCCAGACAAGTCACGAATGAACCAGTGTAGCGTAGTGTTACACACTATGTTTTTTTTACTGTATACTGCAATTTTTTACCGAATACGGAACAGCAGAACATTCGGTAAACGGTTCTGTATTTTTTTGTTTTTTTTTTTTTTTCATTCAGTAAATTTATCTTCTCTCGTGACCTGTCAAAATTTACTGAACCACATTGTAATTTACTGAACCACAACCATTAAGCTGTTTGTAAATTTATCATTGCGCAAAGATGGTAATATAATACATTTTACATAAATATCGGTAAAAATTATATTTTACAGAACGAGTTCAGCAAAAAAAGGTACTGAACACAATTTAAGAAATTTGGTGTGTAGATGTAACCACCGTTTTTATAAAAGTTAGTCATATCTTTAGCAGCAGGTGAAGTCTATTGCTATGCTAGGAGTTTTTCGCAAGAAACCTAATCAAGAATTCAATTCCAAAATTCCAAATGCACAATCTACTGACATCTTGCAGAAGACCGAGCGTAGAAGGACACGATTAAACACCTATACATGGTCAATAAGAACGACCCAAATTTGTATTTTGGTTTACTCATAATCGCCAAAAGTGCAGGAACTCAGCGATGAGTAAATTTGCCCCATATTTTTTTGTGGAAAACCTAAAAATCTGGCGGAAAATGAGGAAAACTGAGATAGACTGAGTGAATCCAATCTTTACTTTTCTCATATTTTTTCCAGGACAAACCTGGAAAAACATAAAGAAAGTTTACTCATCGCGGAGTTCCTACACTTTATGTGATTTATGAGTAAACTAAACTCAAATTTGAGTTGTTCTCATTTGCCGTGTATGGAATAGTCTCCCTATGGTTGGACATCACTAGCCCCATGAGGAGTCAAAATTTGTCGAGAGTAGATAGTCAATTAATCCAACATGTCAAATATGTAACATGTACTTTTAGCGGCATGGTGCAAACATGAAATTATACAGTTGTGTAAGTTATTAGTGGTGTTCACAAATTGTTTCTAGGTTTACAAATATTTATTCTTACAGATACATGTGTTTTTCAAATTTGAACAAAAGTGTTGTACAAATTTCTGATGCCGAGCAACAGCCCTGTGCGCATAAATTATTAAACGTCGACCAATGCATATAGAGATGTGTGTTCAATAAGCTATAACTATTGTACATTTGGACAGAAAAAAAGCTACAAATCCTAAACGTAGTAGATGTAAATATCGAATTATATCAAATTGCAATGCCTATCAGAACAGTGCACGCTATATTATGTAATAGAGTATTCTTTCAAATCTTGCTTGAGTCTTAGTTATGCGTTCGTGTTCTACACTAATGCGGATTTTTATTTTGAACATGTGAGTTTTTAACATACACTTAAAAAATGACCCTTTTTAGGAACAACTGGCGCGAGAAAAACAGGTTTCTGGGCGCGTTCAAATTCAAGTTTGGTACCACGGGGATAGAAACGAGCTTGTTGTTTCGCTAATGGCCGGAGACGATTTACCACCTCGAGACGAATCTTTAGGGTATGGTGGTTTGCCTGAAGCTTACGCTTCAATCAAGCTCATGCCAAAAACGTACGAAGTTACCACTTAGCGCTAAACTGCCGTAATAAATACTCATGTTATATCTATTTCCTTGCAGTAATGAAACACATGTTGTACAGACTGAAGTCTCATCACCATCTGTAAATCCAATTTGGAATGCTACGATAACATTCAGAGGCGTGTTGAGCGATACACTATTCGATCGATATATTGAAGTAGCATTGTTTGATTTGTTGCCACAATCGGAACCCGTTTTCCTAGGAGAATGTAAAGTGAAGCTACAGAAGGCATTTCTTGATGATGTCGCCGTATGGTATCGGTTAGAAGATCCCAGACAACTTCGGGGTGTACCACCTAATAAAATGAGCTGGTCTTCTCCACGGAACTCCATATCCGGAGACGTAACCAAGCTAATTAGAGGGTCCGATTATCGATTCCAAAGATCAGTGTCAGACGATGTTGACAGCATTGGGGATGGAAGCTTTTTGTTGCATCCTGATCATGCATGGGCATTCAATAGACGAGGATCGTCGCAATCAGAAACCTTGGAAATCGAAACGTATCAACTTGGTAAGGACTTCTCAAAGTCATTGCCAGGCTCAAGGCGATCCTCGTTCCAAGACCAGGAAAAATGTAGAAGTGGTGAAATTACTCCAACTCTCGGCTATAACCGTGAACGAAGGAGGTCTTCCGTAGCGAAACGCAATACTGAGGAGCTTAGGAAAGCATTCAACCAAAGCCGGGGCGAGTTTACACGAACCATGAGCTTGTCTCGGGAATTGGAACAAAAAAATTCCAAGAGTAAGTTTAACCTGATATGAATCTATGACCTCCACTTCCGGATACTTTCTTCAACGTTTCTCTGCGCTAAATCTATATGGACCACCGCTACTACATACCTTTCTATATCTCTAGCTTAATATTTCCATCACTCACTTGTGGTAAGATGTGCCGTACACAATATACTGCGCTATGTTTCTATTATTGCTTGATTATTTCTTCATTTTGCATGATAGCCCAATAATTAGTTCAGTGTTTTTGTATATCTATTTCGCTTCTTTCTTGATTTTCTTATACGTCCTAAACTTTTATGAATGTCAAAATTAATTATTTGTTTTTTTTTTTGCACTTCAGTTATGTCAGTGCATATTGCCATAGTATATACCTATGTATGTTACATGTATCCTAAGATGATACCACATTTAAAAAAATACAGTTAACTTTAAGGCACAAAGAACACGTATTTCAAATTGTAGGCTTTAGGTACGAATGAACTTGGTTTTAAGTCCCAAAAAGTATAAACATTCGAAATTGTTTACAAACTGCTGAAATATGCTAATTTTTATTAAAATTTGGGTTAAGTAAGATCACAAGGTTTGCTAAATTGACAGTTTTATAATATTACATTGTGGTATCACACTTTATAAGGTTAACAGTTTCGATTGAAACACTAAGAAATTAAAATAATCCACCTATCAGGAACTTTTTTGACGTAGAACTACGTTTTTGTCGACTATACTGGGGTGCAAATTAAAAAATATGTGTGTTGAAATAGTGTTAGGTTTTGAACGCTTGTAACTTTGTCATTTATAGATGAAAATAAAATCCACATACGTTAAACGATAGAATATTACTGTACGTATCTGCTGAAATAAATACTTTTCCAATTTTCCATCAAAAAACTTTTGAAAAATTAACAAATGATAATTTTATCACTGTTTTCATGAAACAAACATTTTTCCAAAAACCAGTAATCTAGTGCCACTTGGTTGCACATCGTTCTGATTGAACCTGAAAAGATATAAGACAGCGCTAATGTCGTGCCTTTGCTCATTACGGCTTCGGACGGCGCCCAAGTAACATTTCAAGTTTTATAGAGGTTTTATAGCATTCTACAAGCCTAAATCATGGTCTACAGAACCTTCATAAAACAAAAATTGTTACTTGGGCGTGGCACTGGGTTCTGCGGCAAGCAGGAGCAAGTCATCGGTTAATGTAGTGTTTACATCTATGCGGATTTGCTAGCGCTAGTGTAAAAAAGCAGCCAGCATAATGTAAGCAGGATATCAGCGTCTATCAGCATGTGCTTGTTTGCTAGTACACTAGCGCTAGCAAATCCGCACATTTGAATTTTCATAATTTATTACATTCCAGGAAAAATGCTTGACCCAACAATGAACCATAACCGAAACATTGAAATACTTGAAAATTTAAAATGCATGACATACATCAATTTTGCGTAGTTCTACGTCATACTGCAGTCGTGTCTAGGACACAGCCCTTTAATTGTTTTTTTCCTCTGTTCGGGACATAAAACCACTGCGACCAGTAATTTGATCTATATATCTTTAATATTGTAGTAGGGGGAATGGATGTAATGTCGGCCTAAATGCCCCTAATTTGGGCCCATACATAAATTCTCAAATCGATTAAATTTTCAATAGAGACCAAAAATATCCATTAGTACCGTCCCAATGACGCGTTCATCTAGATAAAATTAATAAATAGCAGATTTTTACCGATGGGCCCAATCTTAGATTCATAGGCCAACATTAGAGTTATTTCCCCTATATCCCGTGTCCTTATTTTAGTGCATGTCGTATTACTCCATCACTATTGAGAAATGATGAAGTATTCGGTTTTGATACAGTTCAGTACCAACATTTCAAAAGGGCGAAACTGACAAATGTAAACAAACTGAGTTTTTTTTTATAGAAATGGACAGCAAGAGATGCAATACTACGAACAATTTCATAAAATTTCACAAAAAAAACATGTTTTGTCACCCTAATTAACATTTAAAAAAGGCGTAACTAACTTTTGTAGTTTAGTATAGTGAAGTTAATTTTGCCCCTCGGTTTGTTCGCCATCAGCGAGGGTGAAACTGTATCCAGGTTTGAATTGTGGCCTAATTTTTGATTTCCGTATTTTTGATGGTTTTCATGCGAATATTGCAGTATTTTTTATGTATAACATAATCTCGTAGCCATAGCGTTTACAACGGTGAAAAAAAATCTCCCAGGGTAGTTCACCTACGTATTTCTAGTTGTAGTTGTTGAAATGCATTATTCTCAAATGAATATTACAAGATTGCCCACAACTCAAATTACCTTAAGATTGGAAACCCCAGAACTTGATTCGGATACGTTGTTTTCGCGGTTCCAAATTAAAGATCATGAATCGTGTCCATGAATCGTCGCAAACGGAAAACCAGCTGCTGGGTCAATTCGCTGCTATCGACGTACAATAGATCCAGCTGATTTCTGATGGATGAAACAAACATAAAACCAACGCATTCAGCATCATTTCCTTGATCCTTTGTATGGCACCACTTAGAAGCAACTTCTTACTGAAAAGTACCCGCACATAAGTGGCCTCCGTTTGATCTAGCATGTTCAGTTTCTATGATTTTTGCGCGTTCATTACCGCTGGGATATAAAATTAAAACTTTGACAATTCTATCAGAGATGATGGTGGTGATTTCTTTTTTCACAACCATTCAAATTTTGAATTTTTTATTAATTAAAGAAAACGAAAGAAATCCAAGATATAAAATTTGTGCAAAAGGGTGCAATTGAAAACCGAAAAAAAATAGGCGCTGTCATTGGGGCCAAATTGACAGCTTGTCAAACAAAAGGTACAAAACGAAAGGACGTAATCAAAATTGATGAATATAAAGGGCAAAATCTAATTTTGAGGATTTTTAACATTACAAACACAAAATAAAAATCTAAACTTCTATAAACTGATTAACAAGGGTTAACTCAGGCTGAACGGTGCAAATAATAGACCTACACTGCTTACTGATTTAAAATAAATCCATTTTTTCGCTTCGAAAACTTTGACAGCGTTTTTTACAGCTTGACATCATTGTTAGTTTCGCCCTTTTGAAATGTTGATGCTGAGTTGTCATTCTTGCCTTCACAGAAAAACAAAACTACCCACCGCTTGGGTTTTTTAAACTCAAATTTGAGTTATTTGACCTCTGTCCGTTTCATTTCCTCTCGCTATTGTTGTCAAAAATAGAACGAAAGATTCGACTCAACCGTCTAGTTCCGTACAAGAAGCCAAAATTGAGTAATATGCGATATACCCAAATTTGAGTTAATTGAACTTAATTTTGGGTAGAAAAAATTGAAAATAACTTAGCGATGGGTATTTTTTTTGCCGTGCTCAAATGCAAACTACTTTGAGCCGGTTTACCCAAATTTGGCTTATCGTACGGAACATGGGAGATGAGTGAAAAGAACTTAATTTTGGGTTGTTTTGAATTTCTGTGTTCATCGCAAGAAATCGATTCTAAAGGGCCACCCACATTAGATTCGTTTGCGTTGCGTTGACGTAAATTTGACAGTTAGACAATAGATTTAACTGTCACTTTGCCGCAACGCGTCCGATCCGGATCTAAAGGGTCACCCACATTAGATCCGTTTGCGTTGCGTTGACGTAAATTTGACAGTTAGACAATAGATTTAGCTGTCACTTTGCCGCAACGACGCGTGCGCAATGTGCGTGGGCCTTAATGATAGGTCCCGCTACACAGAAAAAAATCTGAATTTTAACTATCGCGTAAAATCTCCCTTCGTTTAATTTTGAGCTATACTTCGCATAATCAGTGAAATCGCTTACAAGCTTGCATACAATATTGCAAATTTATGAGATATTGCGCTTAAATTTACACGAAATATCGCGTAAATTTATGCAAAATCTAACGTTAATTTTAGGAGCGCTACATCTCGCAGAAATTTACATGAATTTTTCGAACGGTGTATACCCTTCGAAGAGTGAGAACACCCTCCAAAGGCGCGCCTCTGTGACGAAATTAACCGATAATGACCATGCATCAGAACCCCAATGAGCTGGATTACCGAGGTGAAGCAATCGATTAAGTTGTGTGAGTAAAACCCCTGTAAGATACAAGCAATTAGTGACGTCACTACTTGCGTTTACGTTGATTTTTGGTTTACTAATACAACCATATTTCACGATCTGCTTTACCTCTCTCTGTACCTCATTGTCAGAACCCTACTCTTAACCTATGTCAATCATACAAGGTCTGGAACAACAGGCGTCACTACTTGCGTTTACGTTGATTTTTGGTTTACTAATACAATCATATTTCACGATCTGCTTTACCTCTCTCTGTACCTCATTGTCAGAACCCTACTCTTAACCTATGTCAATCATACAAGGTCTGGAACAACAGGCAGCTTGCTGGTGTTAGAAGCAAAAATGTTGTAAACATTGCTGAACAAGCGAATGACGATGTCACGGCAGCACAACATTCCATACTGCGAATGGCAGACGTGTCGTCACAGAAAACAGCTGTTTCGTGTATGTAAAAAGATAAACATTGCGATGAAATACAAACACCACTAAACATTTCCACATTTCACTAATACCAATAAGCCGGTTGGGCCAGACCTTGTATAATTGACATCGACTCTTAACCACTTCAAACTAGGGAAAAACGAATAGAAGATTAGGAATCACATAGGTGAAGACTAACTAACTCATGTTTTCCTTGTATCAAGATCATCCTCGTTAGACAAAGCCGAGTCTTATCACTATCAACAAGGCATTAAAAGTAACAAGGACTAAGATGTGTTCTTATGATTACTGAAAAATCCTGTTCCCCTAGTTTGAAGTAGTCAGTACTACGAATCGGTGGTAGATCTTATATCCCGTAACGTACCACGAAAAGGTGATCTACCCACGTTATGGAGCTATCAGGTACATTACTCTATTTACTGCTTTTGCATTGACTATCACTCACTCATTCAAGTATTTTCGGTGAAAAATGAAAAAAAAAATACTGTTGAAAACTTCAATAACAAAATAAGTAGGTACCTTTTTAAGATTTTAAACTTATGTTTATTTAAAAACATATATAATATGCAAGATAAAATGCAAGCTTTTCTGAAATGGAAACAATGGAAACTTCAAAATTGACAAAAGTCATAAAGCATAACATTTTAGTATTTTTTTTATTTTCTGGACTAAAAAATATGTTCTCCAATACAATACAAATTATTTGTGCCAAAAGTTTAAAATTTGTACTAATGTTCTACGATTTTACTCAATTTTGAAGTGTCCATTGTATTCATTTAATAAAAGTTATCTGATGAGCTTTCTAATACAGGCATAAAATGTTATATCTCTCCAGTCTGGCCAGCGTTTAACAATCATTAAATCAAACAAAGTAATAACACCATCGGATGTATGAGACAATCCTCCATCTATTGATCATGCCAATTATTTTTTTTTTATTTGTTATTTGTGAAATATTGACGATGGAACGCAAAAATAACAGTTACGTTATATGAAGGTATACCTGTAAACATAAATTTGAAAATCTTTAAAATGTACTTATTTTGTTATTGCATTTTTGAACAATTTTTTTATATTCATCAAAAACTTGTGTCTTTTTATCCATATGTGTTTTTTCCTACAACTTTGTCTCAGACGTCAATTCGATGAGATGAGCCTTTTCGGGCTATAGAGCTTTTTGACGTTTAATCGGCGCACACTACTGAACCATTTAAATCGAACAAGTGCGAGCAAGAGGGAAACAGATTAGTGGGAAAACAAACCGTCCATTAATCCATGTGTGCTGGATAGAGAAAGATGATTAAACGTCAAAAAGATCTATGATTTATTGAAATATATGGAATACGCCATTTTGAATAATTAAGTGCGCATCAAAATAGTCGAATTCCAGCACAAACTCGGATTATTGCCACTAGCAAACAATTAGGCAAAGTTTCATGGAATTCGGAGAAGGTAAAGTTTGAATAATTCGTTAGTTGGCGTGGATTTACTGTGACTTATTGTGGCACCAAAGTAACCAATAAGATTTTTGTCAAGTTTTGTGGCATCCAATCGGCAGAAGTTACATAATAATTGATTGTACTAACATGGATATGGATACACAGAAATTAGCTGGGAAATCACCTGAATACAATAATGCTAATTTATGCGATATTGCGCTTGATTTTACACGAAATGTCGTGTAAATTTACGCCAAATCTAGCGTTAATTTTATGTGCGCTATATCTCGCAGAAATTTACATAAACTTTTCAAACGGTGTAGATAAATCTCGAATAACTTAATAACGGATTAAATTAAATGATGCTATCATAATTTTCCGTAATGTCAGGAATGCTCACGAACCCCCGACATTCAGCCAAAAAACTTGCAAAACACATGTTTATTGGCGAATTTGCATGTCAAATTCCACATGATTTTCATGTGTTTCATGTTCAGAATTTGTGACCAGCCATGTATTGGATATAGCAAAATACGCTACGAGGGGGGAGGAGGGGTCTAAAATTGATCAAAAATATGTTACGTCATTTATGGATGCTCCTGCTCCCTAAGAACTATGCGCCCGACACATATACACATACTGCAGTTTCCGGAAGCGTCTAACTACAGTCGTCGAAAGGGAAGGCAATTTTTTTGAATAAATTTACTTACAACTTCCATATGTTGCGAAAGAAAATAAATCGCACAAAATTCATTGCTAGAATAACTAACTGGTGTATTTTTTCTCAAATATGCCATTTACTGCAAAAATTCGTCACGCACCCTGTATATCATTTGTTTATCACAGTGCAAAAAATCATGTATGGGACACATAAAAATAATCATTGAATTTTTATTAGTGTAGTAATTCAAAGCATCTTCCAAATAAGCTTCAATGTGTTATCCAATATTAAATTCCTCTATATCCGTAATACGCGCGCGAGGCTCAAACCTTTGGAGACTATTCACAATTTCTTCTTTAGATCAGAAGATGATTAGAAGCGATGTCAGTGTTGCGTTTATTCCGGACATCAAGAAGGCTCCGTCTCCATGCTCGGCCATCACGGCTCGGCAACAAAGGTTTAAGCATAACCAGGGGTTGAAACAGTTGACGTTTTTTACTATACTCGCTTCGTTGTGGTGCGCGAAAGTCTGTTTTTATTTGAACACTCATGCTCTACCGTCGTCTCTCTCACACAACACGAGCGGTAGAATAACATTCGAGCTAAAAGAAAATTATCAAAATAGCTATCATATGACATGTGTGATTTCGTTGTAATTCCTTAATATGTTGTAAATCAAACCATTTCTGATCAGAAATATTATTACTAGGATATCATTGCTTGCTATTTTCAGAATTCACACAAGCACACCATCAGCAGCTCTTATTATGAGAAAAACTAAAATACATACATTCGTGACAGTCTTCGGCGACAGTGTCGTATGACACAGCCTGTCATATGACATTTTAGTTTGGTACTGTACTATGATAGCTTGTTTTGCAAGTGTCGGAGGCAAAGGCAGTCAATTATCATAGAAAATGTGTCGACTACCGTGACCGTTTACAAGACTGAGCATAACATTTAATTACGGTAAAGTAGCGGACCCGTGTTCTAAATCTGGTAATGATTACCCTCTCATAAATGGGCTCTCACTTGATGAACGCGGCATGGACCTGAACATTAAACAGAAAATCAACTACACGGTGCCGGGGAGCATGTTCACCTCGAATACCAGAATATAGCAGTTAGCAGTACCAGTTTGGACCGCAGTTTGTGTTTTCCAAAGTTCAGCTGAGTTCCAGGAATTTTAGCTTGATGCGTCGTGCCTCACTGGCGGGTTGTGCTAGTTTACCCCGGCGGGCGTTAATACATTCCATGTTACAATTTGGTATTCGTTGTTTTACGCTAAAAGTCCTAGCTATTGAGTCAGAATAGAAGAACTATGAAAGTTATGATGGTTTCAAAATTTTCCACGGGGAGGTATACTAGTTCAATCTTAAAATGCTTTTGTTTTGCAAATGGAGCATTTTATTTAAATCTGGTTGCTGCTACAGTGGTAGAAAAGCTGAAATTTATGTATATACCTAAAAATCTGAAAAGAAATTATTTTTTCAATATTACATGTTTATTGAGTAGTCCTTAAGTTGTCTATTAACGTAGCATTTACCGAGACTTTACGGATTCTGATACCTTTTAAAAAAGAAAAAAATAAGCTCATGGGATTTTTTTACGATGGAATCAGACTAAGAAAAATTGGTATAATTTGTTTAGCTAAAATTTAAAATCCCAGACATCAATAAATATTGGGAACTCAAAATAAATCACCTATTTCGAAACCTGGTGCTTGATTTGGGAAAGCAAGGGCGTAGTAAACCCTCACCTCGACGCTGCTGATATGCTACATATTAGTTTCTGGTGAATATATGTGTGTTCTATCTAGTATTTTTTATTGTTTTTTGCATGCAGTCAACTTTTGAAATTATCAGCAATAATGGATATAAATACAAATACACCAAAATGCAATAAAACAATATACATTTAACTTTTTTCAACTATCTTCCACGCAGAATCATTCAATCAAAGTTTGTCAGAGAAAAACACAGAGAAAATCGAACGCATGATTTCCACAATCAAAACGAAAACGGATAGCTCACGTGATGTACATAAGGATCCCAATACAAATTTTTCCATAAGCAGTTTAGGACCAGGCCAAATACTTCCCAAAGGTTCACAGCAAAGCCTCAAGTGTGTTGGAGAGCTACGTTTAGCTGTTACTTTAGAGAAGTCAGTACTGGAACTAAAGGCGAGTTTTCATAAAACATCATTTTCATGATTTTATATTAATGCAATTGTTAACGTTCAGGTTATTTCCGCAAGAAATCTAGTTTCAGATTCTGATCCAACACCAGATACATATGTAAAATGTTACTTAAAAGATGGAGATCGACTGCGACACAAAAAGAAAACCAGAGTTGTGAGATATTCTCCGGAACCACAATACAATCAGGTGCTGAAGTATTCGGTATGAATGAACAAATGAGCTTTTTATAAAATTTCGATATCAAAAGTCTTTATTTCCCTTTGCAGGCATCAGAACTTTTTGGAAGAACAATATTAGTAACCATTTGGCAAAAATCAGTAGGTTTCGAGCACAATCAAAGCATAGGAGGGGCAGAATTGTTTTTCAACACATATAAAATGAAAAGCCCTATTGAAAGTTGGTACCCATTGTTTCCTTCACAACATGTTACACCTAATCCAAATGATTCTCCTTAGGAGTTTAGCGTTGAATTACATGATAAAGAATTTTATTTTTCATTATATGATGTATCAATTACAGTTTGAAAACATAGAAGCTATTTTAAATATTCTGTCCGAAATGTCCAACGATTCACGTGGATCAATTCATGAGTTTATAAATTATGTAGAAAGTGTTTGTGTTATATGTACCGTAGAATGGTGGTTTCTGTGTTGCAATTATTTGACAACCGTTATAACAACAATCAATACGAAACTAACGATTTTAAATTGGCTCACCACTTTAGTAGCCTATTGGTCCCAAGCAAACGATTAACGTACCCTATTCTAGTTGAAATTCTATTACTACACTATGTTTGTTTTGATTCGCTATGAAAGTTTGACAGATAACATCAGGGGTGTGTGGATTCATGCAGAACATGCAGGGGTGAGTGAAATAGCTTGGGACTGCTTGGGACCGTTGTTCTGGTACTGAGTGAGCCAAAAATAATAATGATTTTCTTCGGGACCCAGTGGTCTTAGAGTTACCTCTATGGTTATAACATGTTATAACTCTCCAGTCTGGACAGCGTTTAAACCTAAATCCTCAATAATTCTTAAACGCTGTCCATACTGCAGAGTTATAACATGTTATAACGGTTGTCAAATAATTGCAACACAGAAACCACCATCAAGATAGCGCTATAACATGTTATAACTCTGTAGTCTGAATGTACTATTAAACGCTGTACAGACTGGATAGTTATAACATGTTATAACGGTTGTCAAATAATTGCAACACAGAAACCACCATCAAGCTAGCGCTATAACATGTTATAACTCTGTAGTCTGAACGTACTATTATAGTACGTTCAGACTACAGAGTTATAACATGTTATAGTGCTATCTTGATGGTGGTTTCTGTGTTGCAATTATTTGACAACCGTTATAACATGTTATAACTCTCCAGTCTGTACAGCGTTTTAGCTTCATGGTTGAAAAAAGATAAATATAGGGTCGCACCGTATATAGTGTACCGTCGGTTTAACGTAACTTTTATTGACATCGGTTCGCGCGAAAAGGGCCTAACAAGTTTTGTGTACAAAAGTTAATACGCCCGTTTCAAATGTTACGCGAGTATTATTCATGTGTTCATTTTTAGTAAACACGGCACCGCTCAAACGCCAATTTTTTTTCGCGAGTTTAGTCCTTGCATTGGTCAATAGGGAGCTGCAGCATCGAGTTAACCTCTTTTTTTACATCTGGCACTGGTTTGTTTACATGAACATAAAATGTAATTTTGAAATTTTTAAAAAAAATTTTAAGGTTTTTAAGAAAGGAAGATTTTTTAAAAGAACATCGTTGGATGACACATCTTATAGTTATAGAAATTTTAAAACTAGAATCCACTTGAATCGACTAATGCCTTGTTCAGACTACAGAGTTATAACATGTTATAGCGCTATCTTGATGGTAATTTCTATGTTGCAATTATTTGACAACCGTTATAACATGTTTTAACTCTCCAGTCTGGACAGCGTTTAACAGATTAAAGATACACTTCCTCTACAAGTCGTTCCCGTTCCGAAAATATCTATATTTTAGGCTATTTGACAGTTTGTCAGTCGTGATCTGGAATTCCAAAATGGCGTGAATCACCGATTTTTGGTTTCTACACGTCGTTCCCGTTTCGAAAATACCCATATTGTAGAATATTCGACAGTTTTTCACAAACCGGAATTCGCCAGGTTGGATTCCAAAATGGCGTAAATCATCGATTTCCGGCCTCTACACGTCGGTCCCATTCCGAAAATATGTACCCGTATTGTCCGGTGAACTCACTCGAAGTATACTTCCAAATTTGTTTTTGGCTAAGTCCGTTCCTCAGAAAACACCCTGAATTTTTTGGCGCTTTATTTAAAAAATCCTTAGTTCGAAAATCATCGTATAAACCGTGCAAAAAAGACTTGAGTGTGCTGTATCTTACATTCCACGTGGAAAGGTTTTAGACTCCTCCCTCCCCTACAATATTTTTTTATGGACCGTGGACCGCCAAACTGTCCATTGGTGGCTAGATTGGTGGTGATTCTTTGTAGAGTATTTATTGGCCGTCATTATGGCTTATGCACTATCACTTCAAGTTTTCTAGACCGAAACATTCTAATTGTAAAATACTTTAGTTTCCATCTTAACATTCAACACTATAAATCAAGTGTAAACTAAAGACGAATGCATCATACGATTAGAGCCTTTATAATCAATACAAACTGTAGATTTATACGCGATGACTTTCTACCCATTATGTCTTTCTTTAAGGATTTGGTGGTTATATGTATTCACGTGGGCTATGCGCGGAAAGAAAATCGAAACAAGGGTAACCAAGGATACATTTCTAGTTGTTTATTATTACTTCAACAGAGAGTGCTGATGAGCATTCAAACTGCTTTAAACGTTTATATTCGAAAAATCGTAGGATATTAGAAAAAATCATCCACAATGCCCCGTGTCAAACCCACGACCAAATTAGGCGTTTATGGCCAATATGATCTTAATCCAGAAAAGGCAGTTACGTTATATACGGAATCAAAATTACAGAATCAATACTACATGTAAGTAAAGATAACAATCACAGACTAGTCAGACCAATTTTATCCTGGCATAATTTTCCCTACCAGAAAAACGCCAAACTGGGATGTTGCCCGTTTGAGCTTTGAACTAAAAGGGATCCAAAGTAATCGAGAGTATGAAGAAGTTACTAAAGAACAGAACCGTATGCGAGCTCATTCCCATGAGCAATTTCAATTGAATGAAAAACGACTGAACGAGGCAGACAAACAACTGCAGATACTATGGGAAAACTTTGTAGAAGTTAATGACTTCCTAAAAGATTGTGAAATGAAAGAAAACGACTGTTATCAAGCTGTAAGACTGACAAATGTGACAGTGCATAGAACTTTAATTAAATTAAAACGGTTAAATTTGTAGAAGGAAGACGAGAAAAGGAAGCAAGAGGACTATCACAACAAAATACAGCAAATGGATAAGGATTTAGCGGTTTTGAGGGACTTTGTGAACAAATACGAACATACGATAGAAAAATACCAGCCGTTTGAAGTAAGTACTATTTAGATGAATTTGATTAACAATATGTGTGAATGCCCCATGTCTACACATTAAGAAAATAACAATGAAATGTAGTCAACGTTATCAAAGGTATATTTTTTTAATTAACCCCAAAGGAACAAAACTCATTTCCTATTTTTATTGAGTATGAAATTTATTCATGAAAATCGGTAAGGATTTTGCTACAAATACAAGTAAATGTAAACGATTCTTTGCTACACAAAGTATGGTTAGCTAATCCTCATTCTGAAAAATCAGCCATCCATTGTTTATTTAATTACTGAAACAAAAAGTATCTATTATTTTATATTTGTTCCAGAGTGTGCTCACAGAAACTATTGAACATTCAGATACGTATGGAACGCTAGAGGATTTAATGAAACGATGCGATTCATTGCGTAAGTAGTGCATACTTCATTTTATCAGCTTTCGACACTTAATTATTTAATAAGAACGTTATAGATGTTGGCCAACTTAAGGTTCAATTTACTTTGATGCTTTTTGGAAAATTTCAAAAGCAGTTTTTTCCGACGCATTATTTTAGATTGCAAAAAGCTCGCGTCATTTTGTGTAAAATATCAAAAGGAATCGAATAGTGCGAGCTTTTTGCAATCTGAAATAATGCGTCGGAAAAAACTGCCTTTGAAATTTTCCAAGAAGCATCAAAGTAAATTGAACCTTAAGGGCCTATCCACGTGGATAATTTAGAGTGAGTTGGCGAGCAGGGATGCCAGATTTGAAGACATTTGTATTTCTGTGAAGACATTTTGAAGACATTTCGGGGCCTCCCTTAGCTCAATCGGTAAAGGCGCAGCTACAAAGCAAGACCATGCTGGAGGTGACTGGGTTGGATTCCCGGTCCGGTCTAGGAATTTTTCGGGTTGAAAAATTTCTCGACTCCCTGGGCATAGAGTATGATTGTACTTGCCACACAATTATACCGATGCAAAAATGGTAGCAGGCATCGAAAGCTCTCAATTAATAACTGTGGAAGTGCATCTAGTAGAACACTAAGTTGTGAGCACGCAATAAGCTAATATGCCATAAGCAATAAGCTTGAAATGCGAAGAAGAAGAAGAAGAAGAAGAATAATAATAATAATAAGAAGAAGATATAAATTTGATGAACATATTTTGGCGCAAAAAATTTAAGTTTTTTTAACTACACTGCCTATAATCGCATATCAATTCAATATGGATTTTCGTCAATTTTGAGTTATTCCCAATTCAGAGAAACATTTGCATTTGGCGTCAGATTATCAACTTTAATAGCATGCTGTGGCTGTCACATGAATCGAATTATTTTCACTGAAACGACAATAACAATGTTATCCACGATCAGTTGGCATAAACTTTCATATTATGTGATAAAACTACGAATTTTGAACATGAGGATCGATGTGTCCGATGTTCGAAGACGGACGTGTTTTTTTTTTCTCTCGTTTTTTCGTTTTGATTTTGTTCCGGTTTTTCGTGTTTCGGGTAGTTTCGGTTGAAGTTTTCAAGAATCGCCAATGATGAAGAAAGGTCTGCTAAATCTGGAAAATTTTGTAACTGGCTACCCGAGCAATTCGGTTAACAAAACGAAAGCAAACCAGTTCCTATCATAATGAAATCATTTCAATTGTCGCGACATAAGTTTTTCTTCTTCTTCTTCTTTATTTAGGAGATTTTCAGCCGTAGGCTAGTTCATCTCCGTAAAGGGTGGGAAGCCTTAGAAAGAGGTCCCCCCAGTCACATTGCTTGAGTATCATGCTACTTCAACATTTGATAATCTAAACAGCATACGATAAAGACAGACTAAAAGGATACAAAAAAGAAGAACAAAATATAAAATGAACAAAAAAAACATAGGTCCACTGTAAGTGGTCCTTGGGAGCCCCGTCCAGCGGGGATGTCCAGACGGCCGAAAGAATCTATGGTGCTAAATCCTGCAGTATAGCTTCGCCGCCTTCAAAAAGCGCAGTACAGCCAACAATCAATACGAAACTAACGATTTTAAATTGGCTCACTACTTGACTAGCCTATTGGTCCCAAGCAAACGATTAACGTACCCCATTCTAGTCGAAAATCTACTACTACACAATGTTTGTTTTGATTCGCTATGAAAGTTTGACAGTTAAAATGAGGGGTTAGTCGATTTTCCTATGGTTCGAGGGGTGAATCAATTAGCTTGGGACCGAAGAGAGTACCAGAGCTGAGCCAAAAAGTTGAGCACGTTATTTCGGGACCTTCTAGTCTTAGAGTTACCTCTATGGTACAGCTGCTTGAGTTGAGGGCACGTCTGCTAGCGTGTCCCGTACGCTGGCAGGCAGACCGTGGAGGCAACGAAAGTGCTCGAATTGTGGACATACGCATAACACGTGCTCCACCGTCGAAGGAATATGGCAGAATTCACAGGTCTTCCTGAAGGGTCCTCCGCTGAAATCTCTTGAGATTAGGGAGTGTCCTGTCCGGAATCTGGAAAAAATCCTCTGATCTCGCAGGTTTGCAAGATCCGTCCACTTTCCGATGTCGCGACATAAGTCTGATATCATATTGTGCTTTCATTATGGAGTCAAGACTTTTTAAATAAAAGCAACTTAACTTGAAGTTCTGCTGTTAACGTCTAGTTTAAAATTTAAGTTCATCTGTTGTTGAACTAATGATTATTGTTTATTTGTTTTGTTTAACACATGTTAAGTCATTCGTGACTTGCCCGGGGTGAGATTTGACTCTTTCAGTCTTTCAGCGTGAGAAGCATGGATGCTAACCATTTACCAGGCCCGTATTCAGTTAAACATTCTAAATGCAAAATGAGTAATCTAATTGATTTTATTAAAAGCAGGATTAGTTTTCCGTTTGCTTCAACAATGTAAAATTTTGCTCTCATTTTTGCTGTGTTAACCGTTAAGTCAACCAAAATGAGATCAACTGGAGTATCAAAAATAAATTACATAAAACAGCAAATTTTGATTTCAATTTGATCTCCAGCTTTGCTCGGGTAGAAGCCCAACCCAATGGAATCCCATGAATTTATCATAAAGCAATTCAAATAGAGCAAGAAGCAGCTTTCGACATCATAAAATTGGTGCAAGCTATCCATTTTTATTTATTAAAACACTGGGGATCATTCCGAGAGTCGAAGTGACTTTTGTCACTGTGCAAATCAGGAATAATGAGTACTAGTTAAGTTACAAGAAAAGTTTGTAAAAAAGATGTTTGATACATAAAATCTGTTGTTACACTGATAGGCAAAATAAAGTGCCCACCCCATCATTTTTTGAATTTCTCTCATTTATTTGGTTCAAATTAAAGTAAATACACTGTAGTATTTTTTATATCTTATTCTTTATATTCTTTTTAAGTTTCACTTATAGAATACCAGATAAAAAGAAGAGACTGACTCGAAGAAAAAAAAATCAAAATGGGTGTAAAAAAGAACAGTGACAAAAAAAAGTGCCCACTGCATTTTAACTCCAGAAAACATAAAATAAAGTAAAAGAATACCAGCCTAATAGTTAATGTGTCCTCCTTTGGCCTTCAGGACCAGCTGCAGGCGCTTCGGCATGCTCTCCACTAGATTCTTCAGGTGCTGTGGATCTAGTTCTTCCCAGGCGCGCTCCAGGGCTTCAAAATAGTTATTTTTATTGGTAACACCAGTTTTGTCAACCCTGGCATCGAGAATCGCCCACAAATTCTCGATGGGGTTGAGGTCCGGGCTTTGTGGAGGCCATTCCAGTGGTTTAATTCGACATGACCGGAAGAAAGACTTAGTCTTCTTGGCAGTATGCTTCGGATCGTTGTCCTGCTGGAATACGAATTTCTCCTCAAGGCCCGTCTGGATCAGCGAAACTTCCAGATTTTCCCGCAGGATGTCGATGTAGGAATCTGCCGTCATTATCCCGTCGATTTTCACCAGGCTTCCCACTCCACCCCACGAAAAGCACCCCCAGACCATCACATTTCCTCCTCCATGCTTCACCGTGCCTTGTATGTGGCGCTCCTGAAGCTCCTCACCCGATCTACACCACACACGAACCCGTCGCTTCCGGTTGAACAGTTCGAATTTTGATTCGTCCGTCCAGAGAACCGTTTTCCAGAACTCTAGGGGCTTATCAGCATGCTCCTTAGCAAACTTAAGCCGTTTGACTTTGTTTGCCTTGCTGATAAATGGGCGCTTCCGAGCAACTTTGCTGTTCAACCCCTGTGCTACGAGACGGCGACGAACAGTTCGACTGGAAACTGTTAGCTGAAGAGCCTCCTGGATCTCGCGGACAGTTACCTTCGGGTTCTTCTTCACTTCACGCATGATCTTGGTGTCCGTTCTCGCATCCGTTTTGCGCATCCTGCCTCTGCCAGGGCGATCCACCACTGATCCGAACGATTTCATTTTCTGCAGAATTTTCCCGACCGCTGTTTTGCTGATATTGTACTTCCTAGCGACAGACCGGTGCGATTCACCGTTTTGCACATCACGAACAACCAATTTTCGGATACACACGGGAATTGCTTTCGAAATCACTACGTCCTCCATTTTTTTCAACTGATTCAAATGCGATCACGTGTACAAATGCACCAGTTCCACCCGTTTGCTTCAATACATGTCAAACTTTCAAAACAAAAACAATCGAGGGGTTTTCCGATGGAAACTTATCGAAAACATACCGATTTTTGAAGTGGGCACTTTTTTTTGTCACTGTTTTCTTTTTCAATCCAAATTGATTTTCTTTTACTTCAAGTAAAACTTTATATTTTCAGTATTCCATAGGTGTAACTTTAAAAGAATAATAAAGGTAAGACATCGAAACAGACTACGGTGTGTTTATTTGAATTTGAACCAAATAAATGAGAGAAATTTCAAAAATGATGGGGTGGGCACTTTATTTTGCCTATGAGTGTATTTCTTTCAGTGCGTCACAATCACCAATTTTACGATTCGTGGGAGCTCACTCTGAGTGAACGCTCACGAGTCATAAATTCGCTGATTGTGACGCACTGAAAGCGAAATTGACAGGTTTTATGTGTCAAATATATACTTTACAACCGCTTCTTGTATCTGACGAGTACAAAATACCATTATCCAATGATTCCATAAATTCAAAAAACATTTTTTTATAGCGAAGTGAGTGGAAGTAACCCTGGTGCAAATCAAATGGAGAGTCACGTCACCACGACGTGACTTTTCTCACTTTACTAGTGACAAAAGTCACTTCGACTCTCTAAATAACCCCCACTCACACAAGCATTTACTTTATTTTGTCATATAAATATAACATAACCAATGCTATCGTAAATCTGCCAGCAACGTTTACCGAACGTATGGCCTTACCCTTCCCACTAAGAAACCTCAAAAATCCTGTGAAACTTATAAGAGGTCGTAGAGTTCTCTGCATCTTTCTATTTGTTTTGTTTTTGACACATATTTTTTTTCTTTAGGTTGGACCAACGCGTAAAAGAATAAATCACGTTTAACCAGCAAATATAACGATTGCCAATTTTGTTCTCCTTGCAGGTTCATTAAACTTTTCTGTGCAAATTCGATTCAGTGAAATAAATTGTTTTTAAAAAAGTCGTTGAGTTTTATCAGTTTTATGTTTCTTTGCAAGGATGTCAATTAGAACCCAAAACGATTAAAATACAACCTAAACATATTTTTACGTCCTCAGACCTAGTTTCTGAAAATATACACCGGGGGATGTTAGATTCGCTTACAATTATGTGGGATGCATCATCAGAGGATGTTAGTGGAGACCGCATGAACCGAGGATGCGATATACCTAGCTACGGTCCAATGCAAGAAAATTGGAGACCGAAAAATGTAGAGTGTATTAGTGAGTGAAATTAGTTATGTCAAAAAAAATAGGAAACAGATTTCCGACTGGACTCGAACTACGAACGTTGCGATTATCAGATCTGTGCTTTCTCCACAGCTCTCTCCATGCTTTTGAATATGGATAGCCTAAAAGCAAACACGAAGCGCCCATTTTCTCGCATACTCGACTTCGTATGCTTTTTCTACTGGAGAGATTCGAGGCAAGTGTGTGCGTCGTTCTACAATGTTCTACAATGTGCGTCGTTCTACAAGCTTACTGGTATAGTCGAAAGCGTAGATAGAACACGAAATAAAAAAGACAAAAAAACCATTGCATCGCCTGCATGGTCAATTTCTAACATTCGTTGCGATGTTCATGAACAGAGGATGATAGGAAACGGAACTAACATTCATTGTAATAGATTTTTGGTTTGTGTGTATATATTTTCTTAATATTCAGATTTTTCATAAGTTACATTATATCGAGGTTGTCTTTTATCGAGGTATGACTGTAATATTTTTTTCTTAAAATTTCAAACAGCTTCTTGAAAATGGTAAATTTGAACAAAAGTTTAGCCATGTTCAAAAGAGACGGGGACAAATCTCGAATGAAGTAATCATTAGAGTGGGTCAACTTTATAACTACCTGCTCCTCACTGCTAGTTCGATTTGTATTGAGGTCCCCAATAATTGTGTCGCATATTTAAATGATGGATAAGATCAGATCTTTATTTGCGGGAGAACTTTAGATTTTTTTTTTTTAAGCCATCAGTAACTATTTAAATGATGGTTGAAATTCAAAGATTACTCAGTATTGCCCAAAAAATGCAGAACAACTTAGAACCTTTTGTTGTATACCATTCCCATACAAATCATAAACTTGCAAATAGTAATATACCATTCCCAGAAATAAACTCAGTCATACACACTAATCGAGTCAGTACGGTTTTACCGAGTTTTTGAATTACGGAACTGTTCGGTAAAAGTTTAAAAATCTGTGGAAAATTTATTAATGAGAAAATTTGTTCTGAACTTGTACATACATAGTTTTGTAAACCCCATTAAATGATAGAAAATAAAATTGGTCGATTTCATTGATTCCTTACGGATAACGGTCATTTGAATTTTTACCGACTTTTTCAGCAATTCAAAAACCCAGTAAAAAAATACTGACTCCTGTAAAAAAATCTTAGTGTGTAGGAATCAATCACCCAGGGACAGTGAAATAAACGCTCAAATAAATAGCAATTATGCAATATAAAAGGCTAATAAACAGCATTCTGATTCTGAAGCTCGACTCAACAAACAGGTGGAAACTAACGATTTTAATTTGGCTCACACTTGACTAGCCTATCGGTCCCAAGTACATCGATTAACGTACCCCATTCTAGTCAAAATTCTAGTTCTACACTATGTTTGTTTTGATTCGCTATGAAAGTTTGACAGATATTATATGAGGGATTTACGGAATTTCCACAGACAAACAGACGTAACTCTTTGAAAAAGTTTTTCTTGAAAACATAGGACCTCAGTAACGACATCTCTCGGGCTTATCGCGGAAAAGAAGCTTGCTCGCTAACTCGCAATCAATATTGCATAAAAGTTCTATAGAATGTATAGAAACGTCAAAGTGATCCGATGCCAGCGCTGCGGCGAGTAGTTCGCGGAGCTGATAATATTCAAATCAACCGTTAAATGCGTGAACGAAGATACACAATGAAGAGTTACGTCTGTTTGTCTGTGGATTTTCCTATGCTTCGAGGGGTGTATCGATTAGCTTGGGACCGAAGAGAGTACCAGAGCTTAGCCGAAAAGTTGAGCTCGTTTCTTCGGGACCTTCTGGTCTTAGAGTTACCTCTATGGTTTTACCTTGAGTACTGCGGACTCACTCAAGGTGCTTGTCACTTGGGAGCCAGTGTGAACTGTCAAGCGGGAGCCAAACATTCACAAGCAGCAAATGCAGTTACTGTTCTTATCTACCGTCAAGCATTGTAATCTCATAAAAATGTTCTATACTTTTTCATAACACATTCTTAATTTTAAGCTCAAAGATAAAAACCAACAGGCTTAGTGATGAAAGTATAAAAACCAGCATAGTTTTTATGAGGCAGCTGAGTTTTCAATTACAGTAAAACATACTTTGGCGAAACATGTATGTAAACAAACTTTGATAGAGTCATGGGGGCTCGAGTACTCCTGGCTCAGAGCTTCAGGCGGGAATCAACTGAGAAAGAACAAATCAAATTTTCAAGCAGTTTTCCATTGGCTTGCAAAATAAAATCGGTCGACTCCGCAATACCCAGGTTTTACCAACCGGTTGAAACTAACAATTTTAAATTGGCTCTCTCATTGATTTCTAATATCCCTACAATTGATTTCTCATTGATTTCTAATATCCCTACAATTGATTTCTCATTGATTTCTAATATCTCTAAAATGTGAGCCTGGGCAAAAAATGATAAAGATTGATGAAGATGGTCGTGCAAATGGTTTGAAGTTTGTATGGAGATTATGGCGAACAACTATGGATTTCTTTTTTTTTTTTTTAATTTCACTTATACCGCTTTAACTTTGGTTCTAGTTGTCATAACGCTGAAAACAATTAACATGTAGTTGTTTTGACAACAATTAACAAGCATGTCCTTGTCGTGATCAGTGTTTAAGAAGCTTTAAAAGTTTCTCGAATATGACTTTCATTGTCTACGGTCCATATAAATCTACAAAAGTTTGTATTAACTATTGACTAAGCACCGGAAGGTGGAATCAAAAACCTCTAAAAACAGTCAACGTAGTTTATGAACAGTCGTTTAACATTAAAACAAAGGTTCTAGGGCTACTTTCCTGATGCATTCCCATCCTGGACCACTGTACACTATCATATGCAAAAAATCGGCACTACGCACACTCGCATGTTGATTCCATGTTGGAACGCCACATAACAACTTCAGTAGTTGAATGTAGAAACTACAAACTGTATAATTAACCTAAATAACTATTTTTTTTCTATTATATCTTTCTAGTTCTTGCACAGGTAGAAATTTCTGAGATAGAGCAACAGAAAATTCAAGAAATAGAAAAAATACGGGATAGTCTGTTGGAATCTACAAAAGAAGCGTTGCATATAGTTACAGGCTTAAACAACGATCTTTCAGAGTTGCAGGTACGTTCATCGTTAAATTAAAGGATGTATTCGATAATAATGGCACCACCGATGAACCGATGGCACACCGAGGGGGGGCGTCACATCTAAATCTCAAATCTGGATGCTCGAAAAATCTCACTCTAGCAAACCAATCTACTAAAAATCTTCTTTCATTTCTCGCATCTACTTTCATCGTGCATCATCTTCTTGCAGGAAATCCTCAGAATTGTCATAAATCTTCTTTCTATCTACTCAGCGTGCGCGCAGCTAACCACACTAAAAGAAAATCGTTTCCGCATCGTAGATAGAGTCGTCCCCCTCGTGGCACACCGAAAATCTTCTGTAACTTTTGAACCGTATGAGTAAAAAACCTGTGTTCCATTTAGAATTTTTTCACTTAAATTTGACGCTTCGAAAATAAATTTCGGGGTTCAATATTAGCTTGAGTCTATGCGCAAATTAAAAAAAAAAGCATGCTATATTGTACGTAGCCCCCCCCCCCCTCTTATCTAAGGGGCTACCCCCTATGACCTCCACATGCCAAATTTGGCTCTATTTGCTTGATTAGTTCTCGAGTTATGTAGAAATTTCTGTTTCATTTGTATGGGAGCCTATGGGCCAAACCTTTCCCTGCCAAAAAAAAACCCTGCATACAAATTTTCACGCCGATCGGTTCAGTAGTTTCCGAGTCTATAAGAATCAGACAGACAGAAATTAATTTTTATATAGGTATATAGATTCTACTTGATTAAGAATAACTGAATGAACATTGCAGCGCCGAGATTTCTTGTTCACTGTACAATACAATTAGCCGAAGGTGTCATTAGCCACCAAAAAAAAACATGGAGGGCGGAAAATTGCTTTAATGATCCTTGACTGTCTACAAAGTTTCCTTTGCTTTACTTCCTGAAAATTTTCTCAGCTTATACAAGTTTCCACACTTCCAAGTTCCACATTTTTTCCAAGTTCTCTCAATTCTATTGAGACCATGACCTCCAAACTTCAGTACTAACTTTGAATCTTTTCAAAGATTTTTTTTAAAGATCTAAGCGTAACAAATTTCCCAAATCAAAGCCTACAGTTCTGAAGAACATGCTAAACTTCTACCATACTCACTAAGCTTCTATGAAGTTCTTTAACTTCTAAAAAAGTTTGCTGAGCTTCTACAATTTACGTTGAATTTAAATGAAATTCTCAACAAATTCTACATACGGTAAAGGTCCAAACGCGCACACTTAGATTTTTACCGATAAGGGCACCACCGTGTAGCTCGCCGTTTACTTCTATAGTTGACAATTTCACTCTTCATCTTCATCGCATTGTCTCAAAGTTCCGAAGCCAAGAACGAACTTCCTGAGAATCATAGGTACTACTCGTGTACTCCGCTTTTCTGATCACACCTTCCAAAGCCGAGCAGGAACGAATATCTCGATAACTTAAATTGGTATGGATGAGCCTGACATAAAAGGTAAAATACCTACCAACAAAAAAATCCCACAATACCAAATTATGCCAATGCAGTATGGCATTTTTGTGGTATCAAAATATCACTTTTTGTTATTTGCAAAGAATTTTGCATGCAATTTTTTGGTATTGGTATTATTCTTTGGTATTTTACCTCTTATGTCATGCTGATCAACACCAAATTTTGGTATCCGACCAGAATTAGTTAGGGTAGAGCGCTACTTCGTCGTAATCGCCTATTTCCGTTCTATCGATCAATGATTTCACAGTGCACAAATCAATAATAAGTTTGTTCCGATCCGTTAGTTCATTAGCTATAACATAAATCCTGTTAGAGCGCATTGTATGAATATTTACGCTCATTGTTCTCAAAACAAAAGAAGCGCTCGTAGCGAATCCCCTTTTTCTATAGAAATACGTATACGTTTATCCGTAGGACGAAAAAAATCTTTGGGTCTATCGATCAGAAAACATCACATAAATTCATTGTTTCAGAGTTAAAAAGTCAATTATGCGTTTGGTACGCTGCTTTAGTTCAAAAGCTACCGAACGAAATCAATGAGAGCGCGTGATATGAATGTTTACACCCATTTTTCTCAAAAACAAAAGAAGCGCTCCAACCGAATCAATTTTTATCTTCATCCGATAGGCCGAAGGGAATTCAATGGCGTTTGAATGCGTTTCAATGCGTTAGGCCGAATTTAGAATCTGTAGGCCGAGTTTGGCGTCAAGAAGCAGTGTTAGACTTTTAACAATATCTCAACAATTTGTTTCTCTTATCTTATGGTACGTACGGAAAGGTAAATAAATTTAGAAGCCATAAGTTATAATAACATTCCGTTTGGCGCTAAACTACGCTAGATTAAGAAAGACTAAGTACGGGTTGTGCTTAATAGGCCGGGAATGGGGTAGTTAACCCTATTAGATTTTAAACAATATCTCAACAATTTGTGACTCTTTTTCAAATCTAACGGTACGTATGGAAAGGTGAATAAATTTACACTCAAAAAATTTATCACATATCTAATGGATGAAATCCATGTGAATGTCACATAGCTTTCCTGTGATCACATAGCTGCAAATCCCACCACAAAATCACATGAATATTATGAGGACGATGAAATTTATATGAAAAATCATATAATATTAATTTGATCGCATAAATGTTATGTGAAATTCAGATGAATTCCATTAATTTTGATTATGGATGAAAATCATGTGCGTTTGCAATGGAAGCTACATGAAAACTATTTTCGGTGTAGAAGTCATCTTTGTTTAAACTCGTTCAGAAAAGAGAGGTAAAGCGCGGGTTGTGCTTAGTGGACGGAAATTAGATCAAATACCCTATTAATTAGTTGAAGATGCTAATTTCAAATCACAGACTGTAGTGGTAATTTTTATACGATAGATAACTACGGAACTATCAACTCTATGCTTTCATCTACTCCATCTATCGTATAAAAATTACCACTACAGTCTGTTATTTGAAATTAGCATCTTCAACTATGTAAATCGTTGACTTCACGTAGAAGTAATACTAAAAACATATAGTCAAAGCCTATTAATTAGTTATTTTCTCCTGCACGGGAAGCGATATTTTTTTATCACCTTATTGCCCCAGCTTAGAGGTTTTTAGTAAAGGACTGAATTGTATAAAGAGGCGACATCTTATCCATTTGACAGGTCTTTTACTCGATTGGAATAATCCAGTGTTCCAATTTTGACGACATGTAATAATCTTTATAAATTCAGGCTCTTTAGTTTGTAGGTATCTATAATAGTTATTACTTTTTTTCAGGGACGATACGTACACGCATGGGAAGAGTGCTTGAAATGGGAAAAGTCTATAACAACGGCAAAAAACTACATGGCAGCAAACGAGATGAAAACCAACTGCATGCTTGATGCGATTTATCATTTGTACAGTTTGATTCGCAAACGACGCGGGGAACAGCCAATTTTTTTACGTGGAGATGTTGAAAAGCAGTTGGACTTTATCAAGGAAGAGGCAGGAATTATGCAGCAAATTCATACTCTTGCTGTCAAGAAATTGGCAAAGGAAAACATGAGTTTGGCGGCAGAGAAGGGTTCAGTCAAGGCCAAACCCATCATTTTTCCTGCAACGAAGAAACCGAAGGCTTTCGGAATTTAACACCTTAATCAAACAATACTGCTTTTTTGTCATTGAATCATTTATATATATATATATATTTTATTATAGCTTTACTTCAGTTCCGCAAGATAATACGATTAGTTCATATATTTGTAATCTTTAGATAAATATATGATATACTAAATGTTCTCCTCATCTGTGGTAGGTATATCTTTGATTTGAACTTAGCTTTCAAAAATCATTAGTTATGATTTCCAAAAATTATTTTGCACCGTTGAAGGCCTTTTGAACAAAAAATATAAAATTTAGACCCATCCGAAATGGAAATCAAAAAAACGTTAGTATTATCTGTACATTTGGATCTTTGCAAACTATTGTGACTTAAGTTTCAACTACTTTCATTTTGAGTATGGGTTTTGGGCAAATACTAGCTATGCTATATGATTTTCAGAAACGAAACATCATTTCTAGAATATAAAGCCATTTCTCATCAACGATGCTATTTATAATAAAAGGAATGCAATTTATAATTGTTTATAGAAAAACAAATTTAATATTTTAATAGTTTAGTACCAAATTGAGAAAGATAGCGAAAATGACTAGCAAACAGCGTTGAAATGTGATACGGTCCAATTAAAATAACATAAATTTTATGTAACATAAATTCAAGAACAGGAACAAAAATACTGATGATGTTGTTTTAAACTCATTTGATTTTGAATAATTTTGTTAAAAAAATCAAAAATACACATTGTAATCGAATTTTTGTTTTAATGTTTATGCTGATTGCAGGGAACTGTTTTTTTTTAATTATTATTTGCACCACCGGAGATACCTACATTGTCTTCATATATGTATATATAGAATTTGGAGGATTACATACGCTTTTCCATATTTACAGTAAACTTTCTGTAGTAGCTGTTAATCTAACGATGAATGTTGCAAAACAAATTTCTTGAGGATTTTTTATTTAACTTCACTATTAGCTTATTTATTTATCAACGATGTTTGCTACATAGGTAGTTGGATTGAGTAAGATCGCTTTAGAGATGGACATTATCTTTTTTGTTTATTATAGTCTCGTTGAAAGTGACAAAAACATTTTAAATTTAATGAAAAATATATCAACAAATCAATAAATATAGCGTCCGATCACTTCGGTTCATAGTTCAGTTGTTGCATCTTATTTTTCTATATTCATGTAAGCGATAATGCGATAACCTCTCTTGTACAACTAGTTGAAAACGAAATGACCTGAAAGAAGATAAATGAGAAATATTTTTTTAATAGGTCAATCATATATCTTACCAGTTCCAACCCAGTGCGAAACCGAACTAAATTATTTTTATCTAGATCAAAAAATCCTATGGTTTTGAACATTTAAATCGAACGTTTACAATTTTCGGGCATAAGTCAGAATTAAGTATCTTGTCGGATTGTCGATGGTAACACGGTTTACCCACCGCTAATCTGGAGCATTGTGATCCTTTGATCCAGGAATTACAGGAAACTCACGACCACAGGATCGAAAATGAGGTAACTACTGTAAAGTCTTAAATTTTGTTCAAGGTTCTTTAAAATTACACAATCTTTCAATAAGGTTCAAAAAATTTCAAATTTTAACATAAATTAGCATTGACTGTGCTTTATGTTAAACTATCATGACCAACTTGGTCAATTTCGTTGTACCCTGGGCATTGGCATAACCTTGAGGATTGCTTAACTGCAACCAGGTCCCAGGGCTTGTCTGTATCTTTACATTTTGAAAGATGCACACTAGTGATGCCAGTTGTGATGTAGCGAACCAAAGTTTGTTTTGATTTAACTACTAGCCAAAATTAAATAATTATGTAGTTTAGAATTATAGTATAAAATATGAATTGTTTCTTTTAAATAATTGAGTCTAATAGTTACAAAAATGTAAAAAATTAATTTCCATTATTTGGCTCAAAACTTTTGGAATGCTACATCACATAGATACTACCTTTGAATTTGGCTTGATCGAGTGGCGATTTTGTTTTCTCTTTTCTTTTATTTAGATCAATACGATGCAGTTTTGAAGAAAACAACGATATCAACTAGGTATATTCCTTCTCGGATGAAGACAGCGAAGATGATTTCCTTATGAGCGAATTTGAAGACGACGAGAGCGCAAACAAAACGACTGTTCTACCGCAAATCACTCTTTACTACTACTATTCAATATTACTTCCTCGATTTCTCGTAAAATAGTCAGTCATTCATCGGTTTCATTTATTAGCATTCAGAGGAGTTTTTGCTTTTATTTGTACCACCTTTGGTGCCTTTTAAGTTTTTACCAACCTCGATCATTATTTTGATTTTGATTTTGCGAGACAGAAGGGGGTCTTATGAAGGCCAGATCTCAAGTCTCAAGGCCA